TTGTGCTAGGATTTCCCCACGGCTGTGACCTCACTAGGTCAGAGGTGTCTCCCAGCTTCCTTCTCACCGCACAGGGCACCGGTGTCGAGAGTCTGACACCGACTGAAGTGTCATTCTACGGTGCATAGCTGTACTTGTCTTGAATTTTCTGCTGTGAAGCCCAGCAGTCTTTCTTTATCCTTGAAGTTCTGTAATTTCTCTTAATTTTTTCCCCAAGCACACGACGTACTCTCTCATTACAGAGACAAAACGTTCCTTTATTTCAATCTAGCATTCATTCTTATGTGACATCTTCACATTATTATTTTTTTTTCACTACCTTCTTTTCTCATGTCCAGGAAGCCCTGGTCTGTGCATTTTCAGTTTTTATGTGTTTACGCTGCTTTATGAATAGATTCCAACTGTGATCACGCTTTCTCAATTCTACCCTGTGTGATATTTCTGCAATCAGATAACAGGCCTTACGAGATTCCGGGGATCAGCAATCACTCTCATCTTCTGCAGCATCTGCGTTATAAAACTTTCCAAGCACTCACTAGGGACCAGACATGGTGTGCGTCATCCATATGACTTATTACACCTCATCGTCATAAAAATCCCATGACGTAGTTCCACTGTGACCTCATTTTAGAGATAAAGAAACCAAAAAGCTGAGGCAGTTACCCATTCAAAGACTTGAGTATAGCTTAACAGTAATTTAGCTGACATTTCAGTTGGATTCCTACAAGGCCAGAGTCTGAGCTTTGTTTTTGTTTTCCATGCTGAGGATTGAACCTAGAGCCTTGTGCATGCTAGGCAAACACACTACCACTGAGCTGCATTCCCAGCCCCCACAGAGAGCACACTTTTATGTTTAAGCAATAATGAAACGTTTCAGGTAGTTGGAGCATGACATACGTGGAGTAGCACATTAGAGATGTTACTGGATAGACAAGCTAAGACCAAATGAGGGAGTCTTTGGGGTTGGGTTGGGTTGGATTGGATTGACTGGCCTTTTATCCTTGATAAACACTTTGCCGCTAGACAAAGAGTACTGATAGGTTTCAAGATTCTTAGGAGATTCATACTAATCTTCAGACCAAACTGTCCATGTAGTTTCCACTGTCTTATGTCAGTTACTGGTTTCCTTCTGATTCATAGTTGAGATTTCCAGGAGATTATAAAAATATACCTTTGGTTTTCTTCTAAAGTTATAAAGTAAATAGACTGGCTGAGAACGGGGGCCAGTTGGCATTGCTTCCTCCTGAAGAAACCAGTGCAGCCCCACAACTGTTTTCCAGGCTGACACCAGCAATGTGGAGAGAGAAGAGAATTAAACAGAGAAAACAAAGGGAAAAAAATTCTTTTCTGAACACAGAATGTTCACAGAATGTTTGTGCTTTATTTTTAATCTGAGAACCAACTCTCTGGCAGCAGCCTCCCAGGAAGGGTAAATAGTATGCAGAGTTGCTCGAGCCTTGCGGGGCAGGAAAGTGAAGCATCTCAGTTCATTGACAGCGTTGCTTTCTGAATGTTAGAAGCCACAGACCTTTCCTTCGTGGTTCGGGAGTCCGTACAGACAACCTGGGTTTGGGACTTAGGAGAAACAAGTGAAGATTTTTAAGATGGGTGCACAGATACTCATAGAAAACAGTAGCTTCCTGCTTTTATGAAAAATCATCTTGAGTGTACAGTTGGTGCATTTTTAAAAATAGCAAATGCATTGGAAAAAATAATTTGATAACCCATGTAGTGTTTTTTATTGAAATACCGGGCAAATAATTAAACATGGCCAACTTGCAGGCATACTTCCAATTTTAGTGAAAAGGCAGATTTGGATAGAACTCAACAAAGTAGTCAGGAAGTGTCAAAAATGAGGAAAGAGGTAGGAAGCTTCTGGAAAAAAAAACTGGAGGAAAGCAGTTATGAGGGACAGTACATCCATTAGCAATGGTAGGCAAAGTGTCTGGGGCCCATAATACTTTCCAAAGCCAACAAAAATGATTTCATTTTTATTCCTCTTGAAATCAGGAGGAAAAAATAATTATAATGAATTCAGCCTGGACTGTATTCATTTTTATACCAATGCAGTTCTACAGTGCAAGTTTTAGTATTTGTTTATGGAGGGAGGACCCCACACAGGTGAAATTGCTAGGGCCCTACAAATGTCTGCATACAACCCTGACAGTTACTAAATATGTTGACTCCAAGACCTAAAGAAATGTTACCCTGTGGGTTATGTCATGGCTTCCGTTACATTAACATTACTGGCTGGGATGACCCAACTGCACAGCTGTGGATCTCATCTCCCTTTCCAGGTTTACCCAGCTGCTTCCAGAAGCCCCTTCCCAATGCCCAGTCAAATATCAGTGCTGCCCCATCCACCACGAGAAGCCAGGTCAGAAGATGCCTGCAGGATTACCCCAACAGGTACCTATCTTAGCCTTTCTGCCTAGGGCTGTCCCCCAGCACCCAGTCAGCACTGTTGTAGCTTCCATTCTGACCAGCACTAAAGCTCAAAGATTTTGTCTTTTAGGAAAATATACATGAAGCACTTTTGTGCTATCCAACACAGAGTTGATATTTGTTTGGGCTTGAATTCAGGGCCTTGTGCATACTAAGCAAGCGCTCTATTACTGATCTACTGTGAGCTCTTTTTATTTTATTTTGAGACATAGTCTCTAAGTCACCCATTTCTTGGAAATAAAATCCTCCTGAATCAGCCTCCTGAGTAACTGGAATTAAGGCATGTGCCACCATGCTTGCCTCACTATCTGTTTTTATCACACACACACACATACACACACACACACACACACACACACACACACACACGGAAGTAAAAGGTAAATACTTCAAAAACAAATTTTCAGATAGTTCAAAATTTAAACACACACGAAACACACCAACAAACCACTACTAACATTGTCAATACAGTGTATAATTATATAGCCTCATTTTACCATTATTTTAAGTTCTGGTGGACAATTTTGATCCATTGTACCTAACAAAAACATAACAATGGTAGTCTTGGACTCACACCAAAGAGATAAGAACACTGAAGCTGGAGGTGGAAGGTCAACTGTTGGCTTCTCTAAGCACCTTCAGGGAAAGGGTCAAGGAAACCAGGGCACGTGGGCTGGAAATCAGAAACTGCTGGAACTGATTTCACCGCTGAAGAATTCAGCACATACCACTGCGTCTGGAAAAGCTCCCTTGGCCGAGAGGCGTGTTCTGAAACAGGTATGGGAGTCTGACCCCTCACCACTTGCTTCCCTCCCCAGCCCTTAGGTCTTCGCAGCCTCCCGGAGATGTGAGAACCCGCGGGGAGACCATTCACTCAGCAGTTCCCAACCCGGTCATGACCTTTCCTTTGGAGGCGTTTAGAAACCTCTGCTGACGTTTCTTTTAACCACTGACTTTTAGTGGGCAAAGTCAAAAACTGCTAAATAACTTGCAAGATAGGAATACTTGGACAAAAGAAAGACTTTTCTTCTTTTGTTAAATAACTATATTTCAATAGGAGTGTGAGATATGTTTATTTAACAGTTCAGAGTCTGGATTGAGGGAAATTCTTTCTTGCTAGTAAAAGTGTTTAACTCCTATATGAGATATTAAACCGATGGAAGGATGGTATGTGATATTAGCTGATAAGATTTCTCACTTTCACTTTTGTATCCCACAAAAGGGACAGCTATTCTTTCCTTCCACATTCCCCACAGGTCAGGAATAGCTTAAGGAACGATTACATTGGTTTTGAGTGGTGGATGAGAGTTAGACAATCTCACTAAGGATCCTGGACCAGAATGAAGGGACATTCTACACATGGAAGGGTGAAGGGGGCCCTGTCCTCACAGAGACCTGGAATAGGACACAGTTTATTGCAAACTGACTCAGGTCAGTTTGGACATGCCCAATGCTTACATTGCTTTTTTTTTTCCTGGAAAATAATGGACACCAAAGAAATTTGAGGGGATGAGATTCAGCTACTCATAATTTCACTGTGAGATTACAGGGATAGCGAGGTCTGGTCAAATTCTACCACCTATACAGATGTTTATTATACAAGCATTCCATTAATTAGCACCAAAGAATTGGTACTGTCTTGTTATTGTGGTAAAATTCTAGCTCTGAGCTCTTTTAAGAGATCTGATCATACCGTGCACTCATTCAGTGTTCATCGGCAGCAGACAGCCACACTGCAGCAGCAGCCTTCTTACCGGCATCACTGAGAAAGCTTCCCACACCAAGAGCGGCACACAGGATCCTTATGGGTCAAGTGAGATCACAGCTAAATCCTTATGTTCTCATCATAGAATAGTAAGGAGCCTCTTTAATGTATTCTTAGCCAGTTCTTCTATTTTGATACCTTTAACATCAACAGTGAGACTTCATTTCTAAGAATTAACATTCCAAGTAATTAAAAGTCCTGACAAAGTGACTACTTTCTCCAGTAAAATCCCACCTCTGACGCTCAATATTCATTCAGTGGAATTCAAAAACCTAATTAACTGCTGCTGTGGAAATAACATGGATAATCTCACAGGCATATGTTGAGCAAAAGAAGCTAGATACAGGAGTTCACACGGATTACATATTCAAGAACAGGTAAAAATAAACTTGTTCTAGCAGTCAGTGTGGGGACTATCAGGTGGGAGATCATAGACTGGGCAGGGCACGAGGGAGACTTTTAGGGACAGTAGAGCTGGTACAGCACTTCAGTGAAGGGGAAACCAGCACTTTCAGACTAACTGGACTTACTTAAATTTAATATTAATCATTTTCCAATTATAAAATGTATTTATGATGGTTGCATAAGGTATATCAACAAATCAGAAATTTCTTAATTACTCCAAATATCTACTGTCAGAATTGTCTTGTTCTGAGCAATGCTTGGCTGAGAATTCTCTTATCGTTATGTAGGTTGATGCGGAAGCTGAACAAAGAAACATCTAGGTTTCTAACATTCCACTAGTCACATTGTTTACTAGTTGTGGAAACAAGGGAAGGAAGTAGGTAGCCCTTCCCTCCATTGCCTGTCCTGTATTTGGCACAAGGATGGTGCCGTTACAGGATCAGTGTTTGTGAGACTTTGTCATGGTCAGTCTGTGTCCCTGGACAGCCAAGTTCCAGAGTAGTTGCTGCCTTATCTCTCTTTTCCGGTCTGGAGAACTAACAGATTTGAGAGAACTACAAAGAAAGGTTGGGGGCTAAATGGCTCAAAATTGAGAACTGTTGATCCCAAGCAAGTAGACAGAGGCATGTGAAGGAGCTGAGGCCATCTGCTGCAGACAAGCTTGAAGCGTGTGAGTTAGTGCTGTGGGAGACAAAGGGCCTTGCTACCTGGCAATCAGCAAGGTAAGGAGCATGAGTAAAAGGCTTGGGAGTATAAAGTCCTCAACTCTAAAGTATGGGTGCTGGGGAGCTTTGCAGGGTGCCTCCACTGAGTTCTGAATTTGGGAAAGAGCTTGATGGGGTGCACTGTGTGTGTTTATTCATGATCCCTGAGGAGCTAGCTTGTGTTCTTGGGTTCTCTAGGTATCAGCAGTGATTGCTATTTACGCACTGTGGATGGTTAATCTTCGTTGTCAACTTGGTTGGGTTGAGAGACGTCTGGAAAACTGACAAAGCACACTTATTTGTGTGCCTGTGAGCGTATTTCCAGAGACAACTGACGTGCGGCTCAGACAGCTGAGCCTAGATGGAATAAAGTGGAAGGGGGAGGAAGCAGCTAGTGCAGCTCCATTCGTAGGTGAGTGTGTCTTTTGCTGCTGTCATTTTTCAGAGACAGCAGACTCTGGTTTCTTCAGCAGTTTGATGTTGACCCACCAGTGACTCCTCAGAGGAGATCCCAGCCTTCAGCCTCAGGCTGGGAGTGTATCGCTGGTCTCTCTTATTGTGAAGCTTCCAGCTTCTTGCACTGTGTAGCTACAGGTCTCCCTGGCTCTCCAGCCTGCAGATAGGCACTGTGGGATTCTACCCAGCCTCCATCGTATAAGCCAGTCAAATAAATCATTTTTTGTAATATTCTATTTATTCTGTTCCTCTAGGGAACCTTGACTAGTACACACATTTCAGAGCTGGGAGCATGGAGCGGAACCCATACAGATGGAATCAGTTGTCTTCCTTCTCACCAACCCACTAGTCTGCACACAGACACACAGCCGGGGTCAGCCGTGCGACCCTGGCCACAGCATCCATCTGGCAGTGGGCAAGCATCTCGCACCCAGATGGGGCACTTCTCAAGGATGGATTGTTCTTAGGGATCTTTCTGCAGAAACCGAAGGAGAGGAACCTCTTTTCTCGTCTGACAGCAGCTGTACTATCATGACTTGCAAATACCCGGATGCCGTGCTCCAGCCATGCAGAGAAACCTGAGGGCGTAGTATTTCCAGAAAAGCCTTTGGAGCTGCAGAGCTCCATCTGTGTCCCAATCACTAGCCACTCCTCTGTCCACCCATGCATGAAGACAGATCACCCTTGTGGTTAGGTTACAGGAACCAAAGTTTCATCATTTGCTGTTTGAGGTCATTCAGTCTGTGTTTCTGTCAAGGTGAAGAGAATCTGACAAATAGAGATGTACAGGAAAGCAAGGCATGGGCACTGCCCTCAGAGAACTTATAATCCATAGAGAAAGCTAGGAACAGGTAGGAAGAAATATAAATTAGAATGTGTTTCAGCATTGCTTGGTGCTTACTGCGTATATATTGTGCCTGTGCAGTGGGCAGGTCTATTATGAAAGGTATAAAGAATGCAGGGCGGTGGACAGTTGAAAGATTTTGAACAATAGGCACGGATCACCAGACTCAAAAAATTCCAGTCTTCATTTGAAACAATGTTGAGTTCTGAAAGGAAAGGGTTTGGAGCTAGCCCTGGGATAAAGTTTGCATTTGTTACCTTCTTCATCTGAAAATAACACTGCCTCTAAATGCCCAAACAATATGAAAGGTAATGCTCAATCTGACAAGGGCAAAGATAGGGTAACTAGCTGGATCATAATTCAGCGAGTTAATCTTATTCTGAGGGGCTCCAGTGTAGTCTTCTTTGTTATGTTGGGCTGTAAGATGACAGCAGTTATTCCAGCCGTCATATACAGGAAACATCAAATCCAGCCAGTCTGTCTTTTCCAATATCCTCTTAGGAGTTTAATACTTTTCCCAAACATCCAACACCCAGGGGAACTGCTCTCTCATCTCACTGGCCAGAACGAAGTCACACGCCAGCTCCCAAAAAAACACAGATAAAGGGAGCAAATGTACCCTAATTTTCCTAAACTAATCAGGGTTTATACTTACAATATGAGGGCAGATTGCCTTTCTTTGACGTTTGGAGAGGGTTTATGGGAATAAGGATGTTATATACTCAAAACAGTGGGGTACTACCAAGCAAGAGAGAGGGGGAGATGGAAGGTAAGTTGGCAACTGATAACACCTGATGGGGTGACATGGCTATTACAAAGTATCACTCAGCCTTGGTCCTCTGGTCTGTAAAATGAATTTGAAAATCAGGTTTGTGAGAAATTAGTGGAAGAGCAACTTCCTCAGCATATAGAAGTGCTCAACAGACATTCACTTATTTTCCTTTTTTTCCATTCAAACACTTGTTCAGGGGGCTGGGGATTTAGCTCAGCGGCAAAGGCGCCTGCCTGGCAAGCACAAGGTCATGAGTTCGGTTCCCGGTACCGGAGAAAAACAAACAAACAAACAAACAAAAAAAAAAAAACCACTTGTTCAGCCACCTTTTTTTGGAATACCCAGTGCACACAGGACCTGAGCTAGGGATCAGTGGCATGATACTGAATAGGGTAAAAACAATCCTGATCCTTAAATTCTGTAAGAGACACAATACGCAATAATCGACACTGAATAATTAAAATAGCCATCATAGTAGTACTGAAAAGAAGTAGAGGGAAATGTCATAGTCAAGGAAAGTTTTGATACTCCCTTTCAAAATTAGGGCAAAAAAGAGAAGGAGAACATTTAATTTCTCCTTAAAATTAAATATAGAGAAAAACGTTCATCAGATACCATAATCTTTGCCCCCTTTGGGTCCACTGGCTTTTTTTAAAAAATAAAACAACTATTTTGCTTCTGCTTTCTCTTTTGCCTTAATGCAGCAGGTATAACCTAATTTTGGTAACTTTGATCTCATTAAAGAATTTTTAAAATACTATTTTTGATTTACACATCATAATTATATGTATTTATAGTGGGTAGTGTGATGTTTCCATATATGCATAAAGAGTTTCTGTTAAATCTCTCATTTATCTTTGGTTAAAAGAACAAAGAAGAAAAATGATTTCTCTAAGGAACCTCAATACACAGTAACAACCATACGAGTGGCCAAGGCGTGGGTATAACTTCCGGTGGAGCAGAAGAGTAACCTGAGTGTACTCAGGCTGGTTTCTGCCAAGCATGTTTTAATTTTTGCACTGTCATATATATCAAAGAGAAGCACTATCTTACGTTCAAAATTATGCAATTCAGAGTTTCCTCAAGTTGGCTATTGGCTGTTTTGCAATGCATTAGAAAGGTTGTTAAAAATAGATACCCAGTATTCATTGTTCACGGATTCCATTTTGGTGAATTTGCCTACACCCCAAGATCTATTTGCAACCTCAAAAATCAACACTTTCCAGTATTTTCATGGTCACTCAGAAAAATGTACAGGGAGTCAAAACAATATGAATCATTCTTAGCTGAGGTCTAGCTCGGCCCTCTTTCCTACTGTAAACAAGTATCCTTTTCACAGTCTACTTAGTTTGAAAGTTTTTTGCATTTTTATGTTTTCACCGGTTCTTTTACTGTTTAAGATGGGCTCTAAGCACAGTGCTGAAGTGCTGTCCAGTGATCCCACCCGCAGGAAGGCTGCCATGCCTCTTTCAGAGAGAAGAAAATCCAGAAAAGCTTTATCCAGGCCTGACTTCAAGATAGGAATTCAATGATAATGAGTCAACAATCCAGCACACCCAAAAAAGGAAGAGAAAGATTACTGGTCTGGCTCCAAAACTGTTCCTGAAATTCCTAGATTAGTATCTATAGAGCATGATGGACAAGATGGAAGAGCAACTAGATTTGTGGACCGATGAGATGATAACACGTTTATAAAACGTTTGGCCAACAACCTGACAAATGGGCTCACCTGCTTTAAAAAGAAGTAAGACATGAAAAGTGTTACATTTGCAGGCAAGGCAACTTCTCTGGGTCTGGAAGCTGGGAAACAATGTTTTGAATGTCCATCAAGTACTATGCAGGAAAAAGGTTAAGTTGAAGGGTAAGGAGTGTGACTGGCTTGTTTCACAAGCAAAATGGCTTTTCAGTTGATGAAATGTGACTAGATGTTCTTGGGAACCTAACTTGTGTTTCCTCTTGTGGCAATAGTTTACTATTTGCTGATTCACGGACTGCTGTGATTTTACAGAACATAATCACCAGGAAAACCAAGAACCATACTTAATTTACCCTTTTACCCTAATAGATTGTGAAACGTAAGATAGGGCCCAGGCTTTTTTTTTTTTTTTTTTCGTTTTTTGGGTCATAGTCCCTACATTTGATTCTGAAGTAGGTTAGTATTGGAGAATTTAAATATCTTGTTTCCACATGTTTTTTTTTTTTGTTTTCAGTAGTATCGTTTCTCTCCTTCACCACTGGAGTGTTCATAGGATCTAATGGTTCATTCCTTCACCTGCCTCACACTGTAAATATTTGGTTCACCAGGGTAAAGGTAATGCTTATAGCCAATGATTTCCCACACCCTAGACATTCTTCCAGGTATGAGACGGACACTGTCATGAGAATGGATTTTTTCTATAAATCAGGGATGATTCTCAAGTACAAATTTCTCCCTCCAGGAGACAGAGGGCCATGTTTACAGGCATCCTGGGTTGTCACAATCCAGGATGGAGTGTGCTAAGGGTAGTTAGTGGGTAGAGGACAAGGATGTTGCCAAATGTCCTATAATGCAGAGACTAAACTCCCACTCCCCAAAACAAGGACTAATCTGATCCAAAATGTCACTGGTGTCCAAGTTGAGGGAAACATGGTTAAATTAATGCAATGATCCCAGTAGCAATTTCTCATTCTTAGATCCTGTATTATAGGCATGTGGTACTGTCAAATGACTTAACTGTACAAACTTGTCGCTCTCTCTGCAGCCCGTGCACCTTGTGGTAGTCATGAAGAAAGATTCCTGGGGAAACCTTTTCTCACAGGTATGTTGTTTATTTTTTAAGCCAAGAAGGCCTATGGTTTTTAAAATCTAGTTTGTGCATGCACATCACCCCTGGCTCCATGATCTGTCCCCATTTCCTTGTTTGCACCTCATTCAAAGTGGAGACCGGCACTGTGGAGTCCAGCGTCAGAGGAGACAGGTGCGCCTTGACCGTCATGGTGGGCTTTCTATAAATGGCTTGGGAAAAATGCAAGCAGTGACCCATAAACATGGTAAGAAAGAATCTCAACCTGCCAGAGACCCAGTCTCAGTCAGCTCCTGTGAGTTTGGTCCTGCTCTCCAGTTACTTAGGTCACACGCTTACTCAATAAGGAAAGGACACTGGGTTTGTAAAGATCAAGTTTCCTGAACAAAATATTTATGGGCAGAAAAACAAAGTGACAGGACATTTTAATTTTGGTGTGGTGCTTAGTTTTCAATACGGTTTTATATCCCTGAGATAATAAAGGCTGAGTTAGCTAAACGTTAGAAGGTTATGAGCAACTCTATATTTTTCCTGTCTCTTATTACGCTTTTTATTTGAGAAAAAATTGGAACGACTTTTGTTCCTTGAGAGTATTTAATCAAAGCTGAACAAAAGCTGGCTTCATTAATTTACCAGGAATTTAATATCACTTCCTGTATACCATGTTTTTTAGGAGACCTGGAAATACAAAACTAAAGAGGACATAATCCTTGTTGCAATGAGCAATATCAGTAAATAATTTAATATTTTAATATTTTCTTCCTTCTTTTTTTAAAACTAGGAACTGAAACCATGGTGTCCACACAGAGCCACATCCCCCTGCCTTTTAAAATTTTTATTTTGAGACAGTGTCTCACTAAATTGCTAAATCGCCCAGATTGGACTTGAATTTGCGATTCTCCTGTCTCAGCCTCCTGGAGTGCTGGCATTACAGGCATGTACCACCATGCCTGGAATTTTTCTATTAAAAGAACATAGGCAAAGACTGGGAGAAAATATTTGCCCAATGCATATCTGATAAAGTACTGTTATCTAAAATATATAAATAATCCTTAAAACCTGACAATAAGAAAATAACCTGGTTTTTAAAATGAGTAAAGACCAAACATGATATATAAATGAGAAGCATATGAAAAGGTGCTCTACATACATCATTAGAGAATTTGCAAATTAAAGCAACAAGGAAACCACAGTACATCTATATGAGAACAGACAAAATTGAGAACACGGAAATTGCTGAATGCCAGGGAGGATGTGGAGCAACAGGAACTTTGGCTCATTGCCGGTGGGAATGCAAACTATTCCTCCACTTTGGAAAAAGTTTGGTAGTCTCTCACTAAACTAAACATACTTTTACTGTACAGTCCAGCAACCAGGGTCCTTGGTACTCATCCAAATGAGCTAAAAATGAATGTCCTCACAGAAACCTACAAAATGTGTGTTTATAGCTTTATTCACAATTGGAAAAACTTGGACGAAACCAAACCAAGATGTCTTCAAGTAGGTGAATGGAAAAAGAAACAGCAAAGGGTAGAGGGAATAGCTCGGTGGCAGAGCACTTCCCTCACATGCATGAGGTTCTAGGTCTGATTCCCAGCACCAGAGAGAAAAGAAAACAAACAAGCAAATGAACAACCCTCACCTCGCACACCCATACAATGGTGTATTATTAAGCACTAAAAGGAAACGAGTTCTCCAAATGCAAAAAGATGGAGAGAAAACTAAAATATATATTATTAAGTGAAAAAAGCAACACTGCCAAGGCTACATACTATATGATTCCAACTATATGTAATTCTGAAAAAAGCAAAAGCATGAAGACAGTAAGAAGACAGGAATTAGGAATGAGAAAGGGAGGAATAGGTGAAGCATAGGGAGCCTTAGGGCAGTGAAACTACAGGCATCCCAGACTACAGGGGGTTAATTTAATGATTTCTCAACTTCACCATGGTATGAAAGTAATATGCATTCAGTAGAAACTCTAAATGTTGATCTTTTCCTGGGCTAGTGATACCCTCTTGTGATTCTGGGCACTGGGACTGAGCCACAGCGCACAGTCAGCCGCGTGGTGGGACTATTCTATGAGTGAACAACGGGTACTCTGTAGAATACTGTGTTGCTATGCTGCGGTGCCATTAGGTCAGGAGTACCACACACATGTTTGCCTATGCCATATTGTTATGGTTGATACACTGTGTCAACTTGAGGAGCCTAGAAGCTTAATTAAGTAACTCAGCAGTTCTACATTCTGGGGTGAAAAGGACACGCCCTCACTACCCTAGGATATTGTTCATTGTGTCAACTTGAGAAGTTTAAAAGGTGGACTAAGAGACTCAGCAGGGAGCCAGGGTTTTTGTAAACATCTTCATCCTGTGTAAGAGGAGGGAATGAAGATTGTAAGTGCTACATGGGCTGTAGGGGTTGGTAGCCTGCTTGTAGTGTAAGAGTAAAAAAGAGGCTTGCTCTTCCCTGCTTGTGCTCTTGCTGCTTTTGCTGTCTTCTGCCACCTTGAACTGTTTACCTTGTGCCATGCTACCCTGGCTTAGAGCCAGCTGATTATGGACTGAAACTTCTACAAACGGAGCTAAATAAACCTCTCCTTCCTTAATTTTATTTATTTATTTATTTTTTATTTTAAAGAGTAAAAGAAGGATAACATAATAATAGGGGGGACTTAGCAAATTACAGACAAAATGGTAGGAAATTATCAATGGTTATCATTTTACATACTGTTATCTACAAAATAGTTACTCAGGAAATCTCCTTCCTTAATTTTAGATGTCGGATATTTTGTCCTAGCAACTAGAAAAAAGTAACCAAGACACATATTCAATCTACAATAGGTTTATTGGAATATAACTCCAGCATAAGTCAAGGAGCATTTATATTCAGATACCAAAATTGAGGATATGTGTCATTACATATTTGGCCAAATTCATGGGATGTTCACCAAGAGTGAACCTTAATATAAGCTATGGATTTGGGGCAAGAATGATATGTCAACACAGGGTTATCAGTGGTAATAAATATACCACTGTGGTGTGGGATGTTGATAGTAGGGGAAGCTATATGTGCAGGTTGGAGCAAGGGTAGAGGTGTACGGGGATATTGGAATGTTCTGTGCTTCCCACTTAATTTTGTTATGAATTGAAAGCTGGTCTAAAAAAGTCTGTTTTTAAAGAAAATACACAAACTGCACATACATGTGAGCAAATGAGCTCAGATGTCTATTGTGAATGATATTGATAAATTCTGCCTGGAAATATCATGGGTAATCCCAAAACAGAAGAGTTATTCATGCCAGTAGTATAAGTGTGGGGCTGGGGACACACAATGATAGAAAATGCCCCATAGAAAAGGTCATCTCTGAACTGGGTTCTGAAAGGTGAGGGTGTTCTAGAATGAAATCTGAAGAAATGCTCTTTTGCAGAGTGTGCCATGTGAATTAGGATCTTTCTGATGGAAGTCCTGTCAAAATCTCCGCTGGCCTGCACCATAGTTTGGATTTGGATTTGGAATGAATCCTAAATGCCCATATGTTGAAGGTTGGGTCATAGTCTATGGTGCTATTGGGAGGAACCATATGCGTGAAAGTGCGTGGAACTTTCAGGAGGTGGGACATCATGAAGAAAGTTAGGTCATTGAGGGAATGCCTTGAGGGGTTACTGGGACCCTAGCCCCTTCTTTTTTTTGCTTTCTAGCTGCCATGAAGTAAAGAGGCTTCTTCTGCTACCAGTTCCTGCCTGATGTACTATGCTACCTGTAATGGTTGATACATTGTGTCAACTTGAGAAGTCTAGAAGCTTAACTAAGTAACTCAGCAGTCTATATCCTAGGGTGTAGAAGACATGCCCTCAAGGCTCTGGGATGTTGTTGTGTCAATTTAGGAAGTTGAGAAGTTTAAGTGACTCAGCAGAGGGCCAGGGTCCTCATTTTGTAAACATCCAGAGCCTGTGCAAGAGGAGGGCACAGAGATGGTGTGATTAGTACTCCCACCCTGGGGGTGATAGCCTGGATACAATATAAGGGAGGAAAAGAAGCTTGCTTGTCCCCCACCTTTTGTGCTCTTGTGGCTTTTGCTGTCTTCTGCCAATTTGAAATGTTGCCCCTGGGCCACGCCACCCTGCCTTAGAGCCAGCTGATTATGGACTGAAACCTCCACAAACTTTGAGCTAAATAAACCTTTCTTTCCTTAATTTTGGGCATTGGATATTTTGTCTCAGCAATGAAAGAAAAGTAACCAGGGACTGGGGGTTTACCTCAGTGGCAGAGCGCCTGCCTAGCAAGCGTGAGGTCCTGAGTTTGATTCCCGGTATCAAAAAAAAAAAAAAAAAAAAAAAAAAGAAAGAAAGAAAGAAAGAAAAGTAACTAAGACACTACCACAGGAGCCAAGTGAGCATGGACCAAAACCCCTGAAACTGTGAGGCAAAATAAACCTTTCCTCCTTAAAAGTTCAAAATCTAAGGTATTTTGACACAGCAACAAAAAGCTAACAAAACCTCCCTTAAGCAATCAAAGAGAATGTGTTGGATCATATAAATGTAGAAGCCTGGTTTCAACACAATCCACAGCTCAAAAAAAGAGCCCCATGGCACTGTCTTTGTCTCCTGTTTCTCCCTTTTTCTCCCTTAGTACTGGGTAATTCTATAACTTATAAGATGAGCCCAGTAGTTTATATGAAACAGGGACAAAGTGAAAGGCAGAAAGTACAAGAAAGATCTGTTTCCTCGGCTGTCCTTTTAGCTAATGGATGATGAGTAGATGCCAGGGGCCAAAACCTCCCAACTGAACACTATTTGTGGAGACATGAAATAGCACCACATGTTCTGAAAACCACCTGTACTCCAGGAGTGGATAAACATGTTGTGCAATGTAGACTAGAGAGGTAAGGTAGAGACCAGATCATGGTGTGCCATTTCAAGAAATCAGGATTTTTAAACTTTTAGGCAAAAGGAAATCCCTGAAACAGTTAACACAAAAGTGGGAAATTACCAAATTTTCATTTCTAATATGCTGCTTAGACAGTAGGGTGATGGTGTTTGAACTGCTTCAGTTTCCACATTTGTGGGATGTGGGCAAAATGATGCTGATACCCTAGGATTGTGGTGATGATCAAATAACTAATATTTGTAAAGTGCTCACACCAGTGTTGGCATATACATAGTTAGAACTAAAGGTCTGTTGTTATTATTATCATTGCTGTTGTTACTATTGCCGTTTTCCTTGTTGATTGGGTTTGAAGAGTGTGAGATCACAGGTATGGAATTGAGAAGCAAAGCCGTCTATATCCACAGCACTGTCTTCATCAACATCACCTTACTGTTCTATAAAACACTTGCCTTGAAGTTAAAATCTGCAAGTAATTTTTCACTCCACAAACATTCTCAAAGACCCATTAATAGTATTAAGGACAGCTTATGTTCCAAGACTATCCAGACACTTTGCTTTAAAAATCTCACTTTCCTGGGTCTTCCACTCCTAAGTTATTTGACCATATCATCATTCAAGATCTCACATTGTCAGCCTCCTCTTCTCCAGAATTCAAAACCTTATAAACATCTCAGCTTGGCCTTGCTCCTGCTGGAATGCTACCGGACTGAACGTGGAGCTTCCATTGCTGCAGGGTGCAATAGACCCTGCTTTGTCTTCTGGCCAGGTTGTTTTGGTGACTCAGGAAGCCAGCCGTCAAAAGCAGGCAGCTCAGAAACTGGCAGTAGCCCAAGTGAGAGATGGTGAGGGATGAACAGGGCTCGGTGACAGGAGAGCAGCATTTGAATAGGAGCACTGTGAAGGACAGAGGCTGGTTAACTGGTTGTGGGAGAGAGGGCAGGCTGAAGGGTGAGCTCAAACCTCAGCTTTAATACCTAAGTAGACTGGAGAAGTGCTTTCCAAACCTGCAAAGTCTGTTACAGCTAACACAGGGCATGCATTGACATGTTGTAATTGGACCCAGCTTTACTAGAGGTATCCTCATCTCTAACCATCAGCAAGCTCTGCCCACAAGGCCCCCCCAGAGGTAGGTGGTCTGGTTGCAGGTACTTTGGTGAAGGCTTCTCAGGGCCACAGGAGAATGCCCTCCTTATGCCAGGTTTGGTTTCAAGTCTCTGCTCAGTCAGGAACATTCCCTGTCCATGCAGAGCCCTTTCTGCCTAAGCACATCACCGGAGTGTGACTGGGTGTACTTGTCACTCCTGTTCCTTCTTTTTGCCTGTATACCGGCCAGTTTCTGAAAGGCTAATGTCCCCCAAAGTGAATTCTACTCTCAAAACACTGATGGAAATAGTACTGAATATTATTTAGAATAGGTAAAAGGACAGAAACCAACTCATCCAAGTTTCCTGGGCCCTGACGTCCAGTGTCCCAGGAATCTCTGCATCCCAGGAAGACTAAGGTAAAACAGAAAGTTAAAATTACTTTTAAAATCTCTTCTCCTTGCTAGGCATGGTGGTTCAGGCCTGTAATCCCATCATGGGAAGCTGAGGTAGGAGGATTGCTGTGAGTTCAAGGCCAACCCTGGCTACACAGTGAGTTCAGGATGAGCCTGAACTACATAGCAAGACACTGTCACCAAAAAAAAAAAAAGAAAAAGAAAAGAAAAAAAAATCTCTCCTTGGGAAATTTGTAGTAATTAGTGCCTACACCAAGAAAAATGAGCTTGTTTTCTTTGGTTCTTCAGAGATACCATAGGCTGTCCTGGTCTCTATGTGTCCCAGGTTGCAATCCCAAGTTTTACATTTGACAAATCCAACTTTTTATACTTGGAAAAAAGGAAAAAGACCTCACATGAACAATCTAATTCTGTACCTCAAGGAACTAGAATAGGAACAAACTAAGCCCAAAGTTAGCGAAAAGAGGAAATAAATGGAGACTAGAAAAATAGAAAAACTCACTGAAATCAAGAGTTGGTCCTTTTACAACATAAAATTAGAAAACCTTAAGTGAAGCTAAGGAAAAGTTTCAAAGGCATAAAATCAGAAGTAAAAGAAGAGACATTGCAGTGGTGAGGAAGAATAGAATATCTAACCTCCAATACATTTCTTTCTTTTTTTTTTTTTTCCGGTACCAGGAATCGAACTCACGACCTCGTGCTTGCCAGGCAGGTGCTGTGCCGCTAAGCTAAATCCCCACCCTCTCTAATACATTTCTTTGGCATGTTTAGAGTTGGTTTGTATTCAGAGAAACTGTAACACTTTTCTGCCACAGGTATGGCTCTGATGAAAAGTCCTTTTGTACAAAGAATATATATGTATGTATTCAGTGCCAGTCACAGATATTTCTATCTAATAATTCTATCCCTAAGGAAGCAGAGATTGGGGATTTGACAACTGACACAAAGAGATGACTGCAGGTGGATTTACCTGGTAGCCTTCACCTATGAGATAAGCTTTGCTCAGGTGCACAACCTTCTCTAGGCTGCACCACCTCCCTTTTGCCCAGAAGCCCAAGTCCCTATGCCTTTGTTCAGCTCTAAGTATAGTTCAGCAATCTTACCACTCTTAGAGTCTCCCAGTCCCATGCTAACATGTAGTAAAATCTGTACATTCTTTTTACATTACCTGTCAGTTTATTTCATAGAAAAAAATTATTGAATCTTCAAAGGGAAAAGAGTAAATTTAAAACTTCCCTACCACTAATGCCACAAAAACTCAAAGGCTCATAAGAGACGACTGTGAATAATTACACCCTAGCAAACTGGATAAACAAGAAGTTGATAAATTCCAAGAAAGATACTCAACACTGAACCATGCAAAGACTTAAAACCTGAAAAATCAGATTACAAATGGGTAAGGAGAGTGAAACAGTAATCAAAAAAAAATTTTTTTTGTCTTTTTGAGACAGGGTCTCGCTATGCAGTTCAGACTGGTCTTGAACTCGCTTTGTAGCCCAGGCTGGCCTCAGACTTGCAACAATCCTCCTGCCTCAGCCTCCCGAGTGCTGGGATGCCAGACATGCACCACCATGCCAGGCCTGATAATCAAAAATCTTACAACAAAGAGGAGTCTAGGACCAGATAGTTTCATAGGCACCTTCTACCAAACATTTAAAGAATCAAAAACCAATCCTTCTCAAACTTTTTCAAGAAATTGAAGAGAAAACAATATTTCCAAACTGATTTTAGGAGGTCATAGTTATCCTGACATTAAAGCCAGACAAAGACACTACAAGAAAAGAAAATGATGAAATGAAATGATTCAAAACACTTCAATAAAATACTAGCAAAATGAATTCAGCAGTACAATAGAAAAATTATTCACCATGATCAAGAAGGATTTATCCCAGAAATGCAAGGATGGTTCAACATATGCAAATCAATAAATGTGAGATACTTCATTAAGAGACTGAAAAATAGAAATCAACTGTTAATCTCAACAGCTGCAGAAAAAGCATTGGACAAATTTCAACTTTTTATGCTAAAAACAACTCAACAAATTATGTACAGGAAGTATGAATCTCAACATAATAAAGGTGATACTTAAGAAATCCACTACTAACATATTCAGTGGAATAAGCTGAAAGCTTTTCCTCTGAGATCAGCAACAAGATAAGGATGCCTATTCTTACCACTTCTGCTCAGTACAGTATAGTACTGGAAGTCCTGGCCAGTGCAATTAGGTATAAAAAAACCAACAGCAAAAAACAAGGAAAAGTGAATCCTTTAATAAAGAGTCTTGGGAAAACTGGATAGGCCATGTGCATAAGAATGAAAGTGGACCCCTATCTTATGCCATATACAAAAACTCAACTCAAAATGGATCAAAGACAAACATAATACTTGAAAACACAAAAATTCTAGAACAAGAGAAAAGCTCCTTGATATTGGTTTTGGTAATGCTCATATATTAATTTCTTATAATTACATATTCTTCTAACTGATATTAATGAACATATATTAGTATATATGATAGTATATTAACATATATATTATGAATTATAAAATCATAAGAATTATAAATTTATAAGAATTTGATCCCCAAAGTTCAGGCAACAAAAGTAAAAATAAACAAATGGGATTGCATCCAACTAAAAAAGTTTCTGCATGGCAAAGGATACGGTCAACAAAA